TATATATATATATATATATATATATATATATATATATATATATATATATATATATATATATATATATATATATATATATATATATATATATATATATATATATATATATATATATATATATATATATATATATATATATATATATATATATATATATATATATATATATATATATATATATATATATATATATATATATATATATATATATATATATATATATATATATATATATATATATATATATATATATATATATATATATATATATATATATATGTATATATATATATATATATATATATATATATATATATATATATATATATATATATATATATATATATATATATATATATATATATATATATATATATATATATACATATATATATATATATATATATATATATATATATATATATCTATATATATATATATCTCTAAATATATATATCTATATATATATATATATATATATATATATATATACATATGGCTCGCACGACGATATAGGGATTATTGCGACTTTCGTGGACGGACAATAAGAAAAAGTAAGCAACGAGCTTGTTAGAGGTAGCCGAGAGGTGCTCGACGATGCGCGAATATAGGATTATCTTACCAAATCCAGGTCGTCCATTGATCCATAATATTTCGGGTGCTATACCGCTCATTAGGAGAGTGCTAGCCCTGAACCCAGGCGTGGATCTCCCGTCGCGTCTCGGCTGCAGCACTCATTAGCCTCGTCGCGTATCTTGAACGCCCCGATCTCACCTTGCACCTGCGCTAGGGCTTGGCGAATTTCGGCCAACCATCCAGGCTCGGACTGCGTCTCTAGTGTTTGTACCTTGCTAATATCGCCGCTCGAGACGTCTGGTGTCTAGTGTGTACCGTCTGCTCGCTCTGGAGGTACCAGATAATGCAGCTGCTGGACGAGGTTGCCTAGTAGCTTAACTTGCACTATGCGATCTCCTTTGCCACCAAGGGCCCAGGTGAGCTTACATATCTTGGATTCGGCGGCACCCTGACGCGTACGGGGTTGATCCACGGCCGCGCCGAGAGTAATATTCTTTAGGAGGCCGGTTAATCCCCTCCCAGTTTACTTCATTCCTCCGTCCGATCCAAGGGTACTATTGATAATTCTAAGTAGATCGGCGACGGACGACCTTATTTAATTATCGTCAAGGTGCGGGTAATAGTCTACCGAAAGCTAGCTATTAGCGAGACCAACGTTACGGCCCCAGCGCTCGAGGCGCAGCCGGTGCACGTCGCACTAGACGTTCAGTACATCCGCGTCACTCGTGAACGACTTGTATGCCTTAATCTTTTCGATGGTTTCCAAGTACGCGCTGAAGAGACCTGCGAGGCCTGCGATACCGATACCTAGTCCCACAGCTTCCATGGTGCATGTTGTTAATGAGTGCAGGTGGCAGAGATCCTCTGACGCCGGAGAGGCATTTTATATGGCTCTGGCACCAACTGCAGGCAGCCTGGCGATACGCCCTGCAGCTGGGTGCTCTGAAAGATGGACCAACATTTATGGCCAATACAGGGAGCTCCGCCACGTTGGCATTCTACCAGCCAATCAGGCGGGAAGCTTGATAGTTGCAAACCGCAGTGCTCCAAGCGCTATGCATTGCCATTTCGACAACTTCCTCCAGGCCGCCGTCCGTCTCCACGCGGAACAAGTTGTTACATTCGGGAGCACAAAGAGGAATCTACATGTACGCATAGAGCCATGTTGGGCTTGTTGTCTGGCAGTCTAGGGTAGTAATGGGACTTTACGCCCAGCCTCGTCCACACGTACGTGTGACTACTACTGAGTCTCCTCCAATCCCACAAGCTTCAAAGAGTCCCTCCAAAGACGAGCCTCGTTCTCAGGGTCGTAGGTATGGGCCACAAAGTAAGGCCCAAGACCCTGTAGATCCGCCGGTGCCGCCTTGGCCACGGAGCAGTCAAGGAGGTACTTGCCTCCCTTGGTGGCCCACTCTTGGCCGATAGCCGCCCATACCGTAGTCGCAGCGCCCTGTTCGGGGCTCTTGAACTTCAGACGCTCCTCCTCAGTTCCATACTCTGCCAGCTGCTCGGTCGTCATGAAGCGGACGAGTTCGGTCATGATGACGCCTGGGTGAAGGCTGGTGGCGTGCAGCCCGCGCCTCCCGTAACGCCGCTCAATCTCACTGGCCATGTAGATGTTGGCTGTCTTGGACTGCGCGTAAGCTGCGTAGGGCGTGTACCCGCCGTTTTTGTACTGTGGAAGAGTCAGTTTGTCGGATGGTATCCGATGGCTGTGCCCGACACCGCACATCAGGAGGTGAATGCACTTACGTCGTAGTTGTCGGAGGCGTTGATGCCCCCCATCAAGTGTCCCATCGAGGCCACGTTAACGACTCGCGAATGGAAGTCGTCGGTCACCCCGGCCAGTAGGGCAGGCTTGAGCAGCTCGAAGAAAAGGAAGTGAGCCAGATGGTTTGTCCCGAATTGCAACTCGTGGCCGTCCTCAGTGAACCGAAGATCGGGAACAGCCATGATCCCTGCGTTGTTCACAAGAATGTTAATCTTGCCCGTCTTGGCCAAGATGGTGTTGGCGGCCTGGCGAACAGAGGCAAGTGACCCGAGATCCATTTGCACGAGCTCCATACGGGCTGGATCGAAGAAGTCGGCAAGAGCCTTTTCGGCCTTGGCCAGGTCTCGTGCGAGGAGGTAGAATGAGGCGCCGGTGCGCTCGAGGGCGCGGACTGTCTCGATGCCGAGACCAGCGGACACGCCGGTGACGACGATGATCTTGCCCTTGAGCTTTCCGGTGGCACCCTCATCCTCTATAATCTGGAGGGCTGTGGGGCGAGCATCGCCGGGGCCGGCGGGCTTCAGATGAGCAGCTTCGTAGCGAGACATGATGGCACAGGGAGGGAAAGAAATGTATTTAGAGCTCAGCAGAGTCTTAGAATTCGGTTCCAGGCGATTGAAGCTTTGAGGGTAAGAGTTTGTGAGACGAGGTGAGCAAACAATTCTTGCGCATTTGTCTCGGGGATCACAAGACTTTATAGGACTTTCAAACTACGACACACCTCACAAGCTGCTCCTTTCGGCCTGATTACGAAATCTCTCCGTATTCTATAAGCCAAGGCCGCCTATTCGCAAGCCTTCGCGCCCTCACACTTCACCTGAGTCTCGAGATGATCTGCGCCGGAGCTGATGAAACAAAATTGGTCCCCAGCGGACTTTGGTCTGTGGGTCTGACAGGTAACAAGATGTCCCGATGTGGCATAGTTTGCCGAGTTTCCGGGGGTACAATTGCGCCAGCTTCGGCATAGCCCGACCGCGGGGTGGATTCTCGAGAATAAGGGTGCTCGCGTCGCATGGGGATCTCGGGACGATTTCATGCCAACTTTCGTTCTCCTTCACACGCACTTCTATCTTGGCCCAGACAGCAAGCTCGCTCGCCCACCCCCGTCGAATGCTGATGAAATACGGGCGAATACGCATCAGGCATCCAGACATGGAAATGCCCCCCTTCTGTCCCCGTCTCGGAGATACGGAGGATTTGAGGGATTACAAAGCCACGGACGCTGAGCACAAGGAGCTCCGCAGAAAAATTCGAAATCGGAACAAGCAACGGGCTTACAGTGAGTTGCCCCGGACTTAAGCGAAGACGGCTCCGGTGCTTATCCTCTGTGGCAGGGAAGCGACTCGAAAACAAGGGGACGACGGGCCAGGAAGCTCGCCCGTATCACGTCGAGCGCTGGCGTCTCGACGAGGTGGGACATAACTCGTCGGCCAAAACAACCTCATCATCACAGCCTGAGAGTGATGAGAATTCAGCCCTGCGGCTCCCAGCATATACCATTCCAGGTGAGGACGGCCGGACGCCAGCTGCCCCAACCTCTACTGTCGGCCGGCTACGGTCAACGAGTAACGGGGCCATGTCGCGGTGGAGCACAACTGCCGCGCCAATGGTGCCATTCCCTCTCTCTGCCGACCACCTGATGCACATCATGCAGTTCAATGTACTTCTAGGACTCAAGGCCAACAAAACTGCCGTCGGCCATTGGGGTCGATGTTGCGACGGTCCTACCCCTCTTCCATCCAAGCGGGGGGTGCCGGACGCCCTCATGCCTACGCCGCTACAGCTGGGGCGCGGCCACTCGAGCTGGATCGACATGGTCCCATTTCGACAGCTGCGAGACAACCTGATACACTGGGAGGCCTACTTCGACCACGGGGAGTTCCTCAGAGACTTGGTGGGAGAAATTGGAGAAGTCGTTCCATCCGAGGATGCCCAGCACTGGAGCAAAATTCCCAAGCCAAAAACGGTGTCGAGATTCCAACACCAGATCCCTGATGGACATCAGGGCTTGGTCTTATGGGGCGAGCCTCATGATATCAATAATTGGGAGCTCACCCCGGAATTCCTGGCCAAGTGGATGTGGGCAGCCAAAGGCTGCGAGGCCCAGCTGATAGAGATCAGTAACCGATGGAGACTGTTCAGGGGCAATGGCGCAATGCGGTTCTCTGTGGTGACGGAATGAATGCAGGAGGTGGGAAGGGTGGGGTCTAAAGTATGTCACTGGTTATTTTTATATACTTCGAGTTAAGGGCAGAGTGATATTAAGTTTAATTTAAGGTATAATAAGGTCAGGCCTCCTCTTGTATATAAGTATAAGTAAGTAGGCCACCCGGACAGGCCGGGCGGCATAGGGCTAGGGCTAAAGAATAGGCCACAGGTATGTATGTAGGTAGGTAGTGTTGCGACCCTGGTACAATCCCAAGGATGTGTAGGCTGGATGGGTAGGGGTTTATGCTAGCAGTTTGCCCTGGGCGATGAAACAGAACAATACTCAGCGGACGTCGTCGCGCTTCCGATGGATGATAGGGTCGTATAAAGCCGTTGAGGGAATGTTGAGGAAAGCGGTTCGCCTATGGGGCCAGGGTTTGGGCACGATCATCCATCGACGTTTACCAGCGTCAACGATCTCGGGTTGGTGCTGGCTGATCAGGGCAAGCACGGCGACGCGAAGGAGATGTATCGGCGGGCGCTCAAGGGCAAAGGAAAGGTGCCATGCGCCTCTTATCTTCTTCATTGCCATACAGCCCGGCCTCTGCCCAGCCTCTGCCCGGCATCCCAGCTACTCATCCGCCGACGACCGTCACCGCACGCTGCATCTTTCCGACGTTGTACTCACCTCAGGGTTTCTACGTGGGATCAAAAAGCCGAGTCCCGTCCCAGTCTTGGAGCTCCAATGTTGCCGTCGCGCGCAGCTCTGCGCATAGCCCTTCATAACATATCCTCGTTCAGGGCGCCTTGACATCGGCACGTGTGAGCACATGTCACTCTCAATGTACGGCCATCAAGTGTCGTGCCCGGGCCTTGAGGTTCATCGCGGGTCTTGACCCGTGGCCGGCGAACACTCCACGGGCGTCGAGTAGGAAGGTCGCCCCCCGGCGGGGGGAGGGTCCCGAGGCGGCGAAGGTTGACTAGCCAAGGTCCGGCATGCACATTGCATTATCCGGTGAATTTTTGTCGCACCGCTTGGCAGCCAATCGGCACTTGAGTTAATGCGATGTGTGGATCGCGCGTCAAAAGATTCGTGGAGATGTAATAATGTACATGCCCCCAACAAAAGAGGACACCGAGAGAAGAAGAGAAGTATATACGGAATGTCATGCCCCATTCCTTCAGCCTCCTGGCCAATTGCCTAGAAGACGACGGGCCAGCCGTTAGTGTAGCGCAGGCGGTTGATACCAATCTGCGCGACGCCGTCGTTGCGGTAGTAGTGGTACAAGAAGACGTCGCCGTCGCCGTCGGCTAAAACAGCGTTGTGTCCAGGGCCGTGGGTGGTGCCGTGGCTCGACATCATCTGGGTGCCACCGCCCTGCATCATCTGCTTGCCAGCCTTGTCGACATAGGGGCCGGTGATACTGAA